TGCTCCCGTCTGTGCCATCCGATACAGTCAGCCCGCGCCCTCCCCTCTCTGTGTCTGTCTCAGCGCCCGGCGCCCACACCTTCCCCAGCAGAAGGCTCCGTGTTGTGGAGACTCTGTGTGTGTGTGTGTGTGTGTGTGTGTGTGTCTGGGGGTGTGGGTTTGGATTGCGACAACTTTGTGTCACGCGCTTATCCCAAAGGAACAAATCTTTGCATCCCAGCTTATCCTTTCTCCCCCTCCTCCTTCATCGTCTTGATATGCTCGTCGGAAAATTATGACAAATGAGGAGAACAGCTCGAGGAGTGTTCGGGGCTTCCCCTTGCCTCGTTTGTCACTGTATGTGACTCTGACAGAACCTGTACACTTGGCGGGCCGTGGCTCGGCGGTAGAGCCTCTGCTTGGCATGCAGAAGGTCCCAGGTTCAGTCCTCAGGCATCTCCAGCTAAAAGGAATCAGGCAGGAGTTGATGGGAAAGACCTCCGCCTGAGACCCTGGAGAGCTGTAAAGAGGGGCTGTGGCTCAGTGGCAGAGCCTCTGCTTGGCAGGCAGGAGGTCCCAGGTTCAGTCCTTGGAAGCATCTCCAGTTAAAAGGACCAGACAGGAGGGGATGGGAAAGACCTCTGCCTGAGACCCTGGATAGCTGCAAAGAGGGACTGTGGCTTAGTGGCAGAGCCTCTGCCTGGCATGCAGAAGGTCCCAGGTTCAGTCCCCGGCATCTCCAGTTAAAAAGGACCAGGCAGGAGGTGATGCGAAAGACCTCCGCCTGAGACCCTGGAGAGCTGTAAAGAGGGGCTGTGGCTCAGTGGCAGAGAGCCTCTGCTTGGCACGCAGGAGGTCCCAGGTTCAGTCCTTGGAAGCATCTCCAGTTAAAAGGACCAGACAGGAGGGGATGGGAAAGACCTCTGCCTGAGACCCTGGATAGCTGCAAAGAGGGACTGTGGCTTAGTGGCAGAGCCTCTGCCTGGCATGCAGAAGGTCCCAGGTTCAGTCCCCGGCATCTCCAGTTAAAAAGGACCAGGCAGGAGGTGATGCGAAAGACCTCCGCCTGAGACCCTGGAGAGCTGTAAAGAGGGGCCATAGCTCAGTGGCAGAGCATTTGCTTGGCATGCAGGAGGTCCCAGGTTCAGTCCCCAGCATCTCCAGCTAAAAGGACCAGGCAGGAGGTGATGGGAAAGACCTCCGCCCGAGACCCTGGAGAGCCGCGACCAGTCTGAGCAGACAATACTAATCTTGTGTTGTCGAAGGCTTTCACAGCCGAAGTCCATTAGTTGTAGATTTTCCGAGCTGTACGGCCGTGGTCTTGGCATCGTAGGACCTGACGTTTCGCCAGCAGCTGTGACTGGCATCCTCAGAGGTATAATACGGAGAGACGGAGTACTCTCTGTGTCAAAGTGAGGGAAAAAATGGTAGGCAGGTAATTTATATCTACCCAGGAAGGTGGGGTAGGGCTGAGTCATTCTCTTGTAGGAGTTCCCCAGGCTGTGAGCGTGCTCATGGAGGAACTTTCCTGAGAAGGCTCTTTTGCATATGGACGGGCTGTTCTCACCTTGACACAGAGAGTCCTCCATCTTTCTGTGTTATACCTCTGAGGATGCCAGTCACAGCTGCTGGCGAAACGTCAGGTCCTGCAGTGCCAAGACCACGGCCGTACAGCCCGGAAAATCCACGACAACAAATACTAACCTTGATGGGCCTATGGTCTGACTCAGCTTCGTGGGTAACGCGTGGTGACATAAGAACATAAGAGGAGCCCATGTTGGATCAGGCCAAAGGCCCATCCAGTCCAACACTCTGTGTCACACAGTGGCCAAAAACACCAGGTGCCATCAGGAGGTCCAGCAGTGGGGTGACCAAACACTTTTTCTCAGGGCTTTTTTTGTAGAAAATGCCCAGCAGGAACTCATTAGCATAATAGGCCACACCCAACAGCAGGAACTCATTAGCCTATTGGGCCACACCCCTGACAGCACATCTTATTAGCATATTAGGCCGCACCACCATGTTACCAGAAGTGTGGTCATCCAGCCACACCCACCTTTTGCTTCTTATTCTGTTTACCTTGTTTGCTGTCAAAACCCAGGGCTTTTTTTGTAGCAGGAACTCCTTTGCATGTTAGGCCAACCCCCCCCCCCCCCTTTTTCCAATTTCATATACTTTTCTCTCGGTG